CCTGAACTGATACTCCTCTGAGGACCACACTACATCCAACACTAGTCGCGTTGAGTGTGCCCTAACGGGTGCTGCATTTCTGCTCAGCCCTTTCTCGGGTATCTGTAGAAAGGATATATTTAAGCCTCAAAAGAAATTGAGAATTCAAAATAGGGAAAAACGAAAGCCACACTATCATGTTTTCAAAAGTCCTGCTGTCTTTTTTTAAGGAACAAATTCTTGCTGTTGTCTTAGGTGCTGGTTTGTCCACTGAAAAAGACAAAAATGTGTACGTTTCCTGTATTTACCTCCTTTTCCCTTGCCAAAATGTGGACTATTATTAAAGGTCCCCTTTTCAGCAAACCAAACAACCAGTGAAAAAAGAAAAAGAAAGCTCAGTTGTTCTCTGAGCTGATAATGATATCCTTTGTCTGTCGCCTCCTGTGATATATTAAAACTCCTGTTGCCAGGAGCAACAATGTGTCAAGAAATTCCAACCTTAATGATAGAATAAAATTTCTGTTAAAAGCACTTGATTAGGAAATCCATTCTCTTCTGTCTCCTAAGCAAGAGATTTGTTTGTTAACAAAAAGAATCTTTTTGTTCTCTCATTCCTGAAAATAGTGTTCTAATAATGTTGCTCCCGTTTCATATATTAATATGCAATATCTGTTAACTAGGCTGGTTAAGAGCCCTTCACATGGTATTCTCTGAAAACTGGAAGAATGCTTTCCAATTAAACAAAATAAGTAGGGCAGAAAACCAACCAGCAGCTATGTGTTTCACAGGCTTCTATGTTCCAATCATGTTGCTAAAGCCACATGTGTCACCCCACAGAGAGCTGCCAAGAGGGTAGCATCTGAATCCTCGCAGCCACCACCACTTCCCTGGTTACCCGGAGAGAATAGTGGAAGAAATGAAAGCTAAATCTAACCTGCGTTACCTTTCATGACGCTGTCAATAGAAACCACCCAGAAAGGAGCACTGATTGTCATCAGCTTGAGTGAGACTCCTGAGTCCATTTCCTGTTCATCTGTGTCCCCAGCCTCCCTCTGACACACCACATCCTAAAGTTTGCATGCCTGTTCTCCAAGTGCAGTGTAGACGGTGCTCCCTCCAGGTCCCCTCACATAAGAGTACCGTAGAGAAAGGCAAGACTGTTAGGAAACCATTTGGGTTCTTCCTGCCGAGAGCCTGGAGTATGTCTTGCACCTCACACGTTCTGCACTGAGCTTGGTCAGTCATTTCTACCTGCACCATCAGTGGAGCACACAGCAGCAAGGCTGCCCTGGACTGTGGCTGGCGCCCTCTGGAGTTGTTCTGAGAGCACCCGACAACTGCATGCAGTAACTCGGTGGTTACTTTTCTGGCATGGTTTCTTGGCTTCAAGGCCTCCATTTTGGAAAACTCCTTCATGCTTTAAAAATAGACATACCTGATTGCAGGACTGGCTGGAAGACAATGAAGACCACACTCTGTACCCCTCCATCACATCCCCGATGGCGGGGCTGGCTGGAAGAGCGTGAAATTGACAGGAACCCCAGACTCAGAATAACAGCCTGGTGCACAGACGCTCACACATCGTTAGAGGGCAAATAATCAGCAAGGCTAGTAACATGGAAGCATCTGAAGCAGCAGTGAGGAGACAGCAGTTGCACCGGGAGAACTCCACCCACAGAAGACCAGTCCCAGCCCACATGCAGAGGCCAAGATCAGCTCCATACCCAGAACATCTCTGGTATGCAACCCAGACATTATCACAGCACTGTAAACTCCTGAAGAAGGTAGGTTCTTGGGACAGCTGTAAAGGACCAACTACATCTGGAGGACATCCCAAGGAATGGACATCTCTTTTCTTCCTAGAGAGAGGCCTCAAAGCTAGTGTTAGAGATATATATCACTGGAGTCTGCTGGGCATCAAGATAGAAGGCAAAATAAAAGAAAAAGGAGAAGATGTAGAATGGCAAGACACAGAAGTAGGGTGCAGCCCCAGACCCCTAACTCTCCCAGGACAGGCCTGGAACTCAATGAGATGGATGAAATTGGAAGTCACGTATTGGAACTTTCTGAAATGACAACAATAGAAGTGAAAAACCAAGTGGAAAAGGCTATAGAGAAAATGATCTCTCAGGTACAGAAAGAAACGATGCAAAAAATCAAAGATATTAGAGAAGAGACAAATGAAAGAATAGATGAGCTTGAAAAAAGTTAGAAGAGAAATGGAATCCATGGAACAGATCCAAACAGAGACCCGTGAGATTAAAACCTCCATTGAAAATATATGCAACAGACTGATGAAGGAAAGGATAGAATTTCAGATCTTGAAGACAGAATTGCAGCTAATGATCATAAAAAGAAAAATACCTTAAAAATAGCAAGAGACCATGAGAAAGAAATCTAAGACTATTGTGGTTTGTTTAAATGTTCCCCCAAAACCTCATGCAGTTGGGGGAGAGGGAGCAAACCTTTCAAGTGTGGCTGAATCTAGCATTTGTGATTGGTTCATTGTCTAGCACTGGGATTGGTTGTGTGAGTGCTGCACCCGCCCAGGGATGGGTAGCTGCATACAGTATAAGGGAGGGAAGAAGTCGTGCTCTTCCCCTTTTTGCCCTTTTGCTCTTGTCTCTTGTGGCTGCCATGACCTGTTTCCCTCTGCCTTGGCGCCAGAGATTGTGGACTGAAACTTCCACAAACTGTGAGATAAATAAACCTTTGCTTCCTTAGCTTTGGATGTCAGGTATTTTGTCTCGGCAATAAGAAAAAAAGTAACTAACACAAAGAGCTATAAGACAAAGCAAAGCAGAATAGCAAAAGATTTACTGGGGTCAATAAGAAAGCTAAAGACAGCACAAATACCATAACAATTGTAAATGTATATGCACCTAATAAAGGAGCTCCCAACTATATAAGACAGTTGTTGGCAGACATGGAAAATCAAATAAGCAATAACACAATTGTAACAGGAGACTTCAGTACCCCACTGTCACTAAGAACAGATCAACTAGACAGAAAATCAGCAAAGAAATATCAGAGCTGAACCAAACCTGTAAACAAATAGAGTTAGTAGAAAAAAGTCAAGCCCCAAGGCCCTGCCGCCATTGGAGAAGCATTGGTGAACCACCGCCCTGTGCCTCTCCACCACTCCAGGAGCCCTGGATCGGAGGAACCTAGGTACCTGGTCCAGTCCACTACCCCAAGGGACTGGCAGCCAAGGAGGGAAACACCTGGGATGCAGCAAGGGGCTGATTTGAAGGAACACAGGAAAATGTCAAAAGACGAAGGAGCAAAATACAGTCTTAGACCTCCAGCCCACAAAGGGCAAGTTCAGGAGTCACAGACATAGGAGAATTTAGAAGTCACACACCTGAAATTTCTGAAAAGGTAACAACTGACGTAAAGAAGCAACTTAGTTCTTATATTGTTTGGTTGATTTTGCATGCCCATATCTGATGGTCTGGACAGCTATTTTGAGGATAACAAGAGGCATTATGGTAGCCATTAATTTCCTATTATCCTGTTTTGAAATTCTGTATCATTTTCATGGTTTTGTTTTGATTGATTTTTTTATGTCTGATGGTATGGGTAGCTACTTTGAAAACAAGATAGATAATAGTAGTCATTTTTACCTATTATCTTGTTTTGAAGTTCTGTGTCACTTTCTTTGTTTCGTTTCAATTGGCTTTATTCTGGTTTGGTTTGGTTTTATTCTTATAAAATAAAATAAAATAAAACAGAAAAACAATTAAAGACACAAATGCGCTTTGGGAGGCCACAGGGATGGTAATGAGAGGAGATAAGATGGGAAAAGACAGAGGACACACTTTGACCCCTGTCTTGGAAGAATGTGGCTCTTATCTCTGAGACCTAAATGAGACCGGCAAGTCAATTGTGCTTGGGGAACCTGTTATGAAAATCACCAGTTTAAGTTTGTGCCTTCAGGATTAACGGGTAAGCGATTTAATGTCATCTATAACACTGAGGAGAAACAATCCATTAATCCGAAGTTAATCTGATTTCTCACCTTCAGGGCTAAGATGATCCAAAAGCTTGAGAGGAAACTTCTCACACTTCCATGGAGTGTGCAAACTCAGAAATGAAAGATGCAAAAAAGGATATATTTTATAATAGTAAATATATTTTATTTCTGGAAACACTTTGCGGTTCTTTCTGATTCCATGGGAGGAATCCGACAGATAGATCCCAGGCTCTTGTATACAGCAAGCAATGACTTGCAAGTGTACACCCCATAGTAAAGGAAATACCGGCTGCATTTATTGTGGGTAAATGGGGAGATTTGCCCAGGACATCTCTACAAAGAACAGCAATGTGGGGCCGACAGGGAAATCAGCACAGCACACAGATCAGTCAGGCTTTCAGTGAGCCCCTCCTGGAGGCCTCTCATTGGGTCTCAGGGTGAGAGTGACAGGGATGATGGCAGGGTGCTGAGTCCTCTAAGGGCTTCCTCAGAGTCCATTCTGATTAAATTGCATCCATGAGATGGAGTCCTCCTTTATGAACGGATGAAAGATTCCTTTCAGGAGCTCTAACGCATATGTGCGCTGCAGGCGAGAAGCGATGGAAGTCTCGGGGCCTGTGTTATTTTCTTTTCTGCCTGTCTCAGAACAGTGGCAGGAGGATTGGCCCTGGGCGTTGCCCAAACTCAGGCCTCCCAGCCTGCCTTGCGCTGCCTGTACTACTTCTACCAGAGTTCCAGGTGCGCACCTGACTCCACTTTCCCTGGGAAGAGTCCAGGGCCACCCTCACAGCACTTCGGCAGGATCAGCAGCTCTTTCATATTCATTTCCCAGCCTTGCTGGTCATACATTACTCCGCACCCCACCCTCGACACCCCCATATCGTCTTCCTCTCTCCAGCAGTGGCAGTGCCTGGCAGATGCGAGGACTTGGAAACGTTCAGGGGCCGAATTGCCAGTGGGACCACAGGGACCCTCTGGGAGGTGACTTGATTTAGAAACACACGCAGACAACTTTCATCAGGTAACCTTGTCTTTCCTCATTCAGGGGACTTTGACCCTTGCATGATGTTGGACCCTGGAGACATCATGGATCCAGAATCTGATTATGAAGACCAGGTAATTAAAAATCTAAAATATATTTCTCTACGTAGATGCTTCTCATGTTAGATTTTGTAAATACTTTATGACAATTAAAATTATAAATCAAACTGTGATATCTTTACAGACCACTGATAATGTCATTGCTGAGTCATAGTAGTAGCCTACAGATTTCTTGCACCATTCCACTCTTTGGTCTCCCTTTTTCACAGATCCAAAATTAATTAACAGTTAGTTTCTGGGTGTGGTGGCACACACTTGTAATCCCAGCACTCAGGAGGCTAAAGTAGGAGGATTGCCATTAGTTCAAGGCCAGCCTGAACAACATAGTGAGACCTTGTTTCAAAAAACCCCATTTGAAAAGATAGTTAATTAGATAATTAGGAAAGGTTTATGGTCAAAGGTTAGTTAGGATAGAAATAAGGCAGTATTGCCCAAGAGTTTGCCATGTCTCTGTGCCTCCCCCTAGTAAACTAAGAATATGTCCTGGCACGAGCTACACACTCAGGGCTCTGCTGTTGTATTTCTAACCCTTGCAAGGGAATGAAGTCCAGGAGAACACAGCCAGGGGCTTAAATTTATGTTCTCTTTGAATAAAACTGAAGCCAGTTATCTGGGTCACTTTCCTGTCCCTACTGTTACATTTTAATGATCTAAAACAGTTGGCAAACTATCCCACTGCCTGCCTAGGCTTTACTGTTAATGGAGGGTTCAGAAAGCTCTTGTGCATTATTCATGCCCCACAGGCATAGCTGACAGCCAAGCCAGTGGGCATCTATGGGGGTTTTATTCTTGTCGGCACGGGTATGTCATAAATAAGCAAGCAGATGTGACCAGGAGGATCCTTGCACCATGGCTGGGCATCCATTTGATATGTATATTCCGTAACTGTTTTGTGAGCATCGAGTTTCTTCCTTATATCACAAAACAGGAGAAAGAAGCCAGGGCTTGGGGTAGTGCTGGCTCAGCATTCACAAGGCCCCAGGTTCGATTCCCAGCCATAGAAAAACAGAAACCAAAAGAGGTAAAACCAGAGATCACACTCAGGCTTCTGACTTCAGTGAAAGCCAAGGTCCTGAAGGACGGAAGGACCAGTGACGGCAAACCTTGGAGAGCTTTCAGAGATAACAAACAGCCAGCTGCCGAACGTGCGCCTCTGGGTCGGACTGCACTGGCATCCTCAGATGGGGTAGGAACCAGCAGTGTTGTCCAGGTTCTTATTTATCCTAATCAATGAATTGTCAGAGCAGTTGGTGGATATGAAAGATTTCCATTTATTTTAGGGTAGAAATTAGAAAAGGGAAAAAAGGGAAAAAGCACAAAAGAAGTACTCAGGGAGAAAACTGTGAAGGAAAAAAGATGCATCCTGCCAGCAGAGTAAGTCACTCCAAAAACAAGAGGGTAGTGCCCCAGAGTCAATTGATGCTGTCTTTTTAGGCCTAAACTGCTGGGTCTGGGCTCAACTTTCACTCTGCCTCCCAGAATGCTGGGATTATGGGTGTGCACCACCATACCCACAAAGGGAGAGGAGATGCCAGCCTCCACCACAGGCTCCTGCCCTGACCATGGGCTACAACACCACCCTCCATGTGGTCACTGTCTCCTACTCTCTGCACTCATTCATGAACCCTCACTGGTCCATTATTAAAACATGAGAGCCCCACCCCAGCATCTACAGTGCCCCCCCACCCCATGGATTCCACTTTGAGAAGCTTAGCACAGCCCTGGTTTCAGCTTCCAAAAGCTCTTGGAGAGCCCTCGCTGCTAACCCTAACCCTAACCCATGCGCCCCAGCGCCTTTCCCACGTCTGCTCTTCCTTCCACCTCGGCTTTCTGTGAGTGATCCGCATCACCCCTGCTGCCCAAGCCAGAGGCGGGTGTGTTCTCAGCCTCCAGCTGTCCCTCCTTCCTTCCATGGGCACAGGCAGGAAGCTGGTCAGTTCTGCTGGCCAGGAATGGCCCCCTCCTCTCCCGCTGCCCTGCCCCTGCCTGGTTCACATCCTCGGTCTCTCTCCGTGGGTCTCATCTGCCAACACGATCCTTGTGAAATCAGCTCGGTCATGGAGACGCACTGCTCAGAACCCTCCTCGGCTCTTCCTCGACTCCTCAGTTCAAGGAGAACCTGTGAGCATAACAGATGTAAACTTCAGACTCAGACTCAGATCCCTTGCAATTAGCAGAATACACTGCCCCAGCCATGCCAAGCACCTGCCCTTCCTTCTAGCAGCTTGTGCTGTGGGTCCTTTCCCTGTGAGGGGAAACGTCCAGCCCCTCCTTCCTTCACCCCGGGCTGTCCCCACTCCACCAGGGGACCGCTGACTCGTCCAGAAGCTGTTCTTTTGCTATGCGGCTACCTTCTCCAGGGTCCCGGGATACCTGTGTCGCAGTACTTAGCAGCTTTCCATGGACTGCACCTTACCCTGGGCAACATCCGTGCCTCCTGCACAGCCTGGCATGCGGCAGGTGCTCGAGAAATGCTCAGTGTTTGTAAGTCCAAGACAAGGGAATCTGTAACTTCCTAGTGATGGGGGTAATAGCTAAGCCTCCTCACGCCTCAGTGTCCTCTGCTAGGAAACACTGACACCCTTCTTTGAAGAACCACCATTCAAGACAGAGAGCACAGGGTAAGCTTTTTATTAGCACACACGTATGGTACAGAATGACTACATCCATTGTGAGGAGTTACTACATCACACATCTCAGTTCCTTTTTCTTTTTCATTTCTGACTCTCCCACACCTCCCCGCTCCTTCCAACTTGGTCCTCCTCCCACTTGCAAAAGTTCTGTTTTCATTTGTTTTCTTCTTCCGTTCTTTTTTCCATCCCCTTTCTCTCCCCTCTTATCTCCTCTCTCGATTTCTTATTCCCCCATCCATTTGAAAAAGATCCAACTTCTTCTATCACACATATTTTTTCTTACATAAGAAACTGATATTAAAGCTGGTTTATTTCACCCAACATTGTGTTCTCCAGGTGCATACATTTTCCTATGCATGACTTAATGTGTCCTTCTTTATGACAGATTAGTACTCCATTGTGTATAAATACCACCTTTTCCTATCTGTACTTCTGCTGATGGGTATATAGCCCACAGCTGACTTCTTCAGGTAAGTGAGTGCTAATTGTCTGAGCTCTTCCAATTTCTGTGCTGTCAGATGAAGAGCTTGGAGATTGTCACTCTTTTCTAGCAACAAATAAGAAACTTAGCAAACAGAAAAATCAACCTTCCTATACTTAGCAGAGAAGTAATTGCACCAGCTGCTACACCAAAACTTGGAGAGACAGACGGGCAAATCTAGAAAATCGCTACCTACCCTCACAGAGGTCCCCATAGGAACCAGTGCCAGGGTAGGAAAAAACTGAACAGTGGCAGTTGCTAGGGGCTTGGTGTAGATAAGTCTGAGAGTTGAAACTCCAGAGGGACCCAGTGAGATGGAGGCCGTACACTTTTGTGACCCTCGCCATACAAAGACAGCAATTTCAGGTGCTCACATTGAGTATCAGAAAAAGATCCCCCAGACTTCTGAAGGACTATGGAAGATGCCAGGCACTCTGTCCTTCACAAGGCCTGAAGAAACTTCTGCCAGAGCCTGAACACCCCGAGGAGCAGAGAATGCCCCTATCTGGCTGCCCTGTCTCACCCAAAGATTGAAAACAAGGACCACAGTGAAGGCACAGTTCCATGGCCCAGACTCACGCTGACGGGCTGAGACCAAATCCTAGGACAGAGGAGCGACCTGTTACTGTGGGTCCCTTTTCCGTGTCCATCACAGCCATCAGTGAAGAGGAAACTACAAGGCACAGCAAAGGGCACAAAAACCACGGTGTGGCTGCAGTGAGCAGAGCTCAGAAGCGGAGGCACACACGGCAGGGGTGGTGGAGCTGTCAAGGCAGGAACTGGTTAAAACAGAACAACATGCTTAAACCTTTACTGAATAAAAACGAAGACAGCACCTAAGAATAGTGGGTAAAGTAAGCAAAGAAACAGAAATCATGAAAAGGAATTGAAAGACTAGAAGTCAAAAACACTGGAATAGGGCGGGCCACTGCTGGAGTGGGGACAGCCAGACCCAAGGCTCTGTCTGTGAGTCAGCCCATTCACGGATATCGGGGGAGAGAACCAGGCCTCCCTGGAGAGATCCCAGCCTGGAAACCATGTCATTTTCATTGTTTCGTTGGGTTGAGTTTTCTTCTCTTTTGTTTTGTTTGATTATATTAAATCTGATGGCATGAGCAGCTATTTAAAGGATAGCAAGACACATTATGGTAGCCATTTTGGATGCATTATTAGCTTATTTTAAGTCCTTTATTGCATTCACTGTTTTATTTTTATTGTTTCTATTCTATTCTGTTCTGCTTGATCTTTACTATGCCTCAAGGTATCTGCAGCTATTTTGAAGACAACAAAAAGCATTATGGTACCTATTCTTGATTTTGTAAGGTTTTGAAGTCCTGTATCACTTATACTGGTTTATTTTGGTTGGTTTTATTCTGTCTTATTTTCCTTGGCTTTATTCTCTTTAAATAAAAAAATAAAAACAAAAACACTGGAAATAGAAGTGAAGGATGCCTTTGATGGGTTCCTTCACAGGCCAGGAACCTTGGAACTTGCAGCTATGACAGTAGAAATTTCCATAACTAAAACTAAATGAGAAAAGAAGACAGGAAAAAAAAAAGGACAGAATATCCAACAGCTGTGGGGCAGCTGCAAAAGGTGTAATATATGCATAATGGGAAAAGCAGAGAGGAAAGTCAAAGGAGCAGAAGCAATGTTTGAAATAATAATAACTGAATTCCACTCCCTCCCCCTCAAAATAACACCAGACACGAAACTGCGATCCAGGGAGCTCAGAAAGTGCCAGAAAGAACAAGGCTGTAGGCCAAAAACATATCAGAACTGCAGCTAGGCAGATCATCTCAACCCAGGGAAAATTTTAAAAACCTTTCCACGCATGGTGACACACATGTCATCTCAGCCCTCAGGAGGCTGAGGCTGGAGGACTGCTGTGAGTTCAAGGC